AACCCTATTGATAACAAACAAGTGGATATAATACTACTCCTCTAATGATCTAGATTTAGCCCAGGAATGTGGATTTCTCTAGCACATTTTAGCCACTGTAACTGTCACACCAGATCAGACGTGACAATTTAGCACCAGCAGCAGCTGCTAAAGTGTTCTCTCTGCATTTCCCAGAAACCATTGCTTTCCTTCTGCCTTTTTCAGCCTTCATTCTAATTCTGGTGCAGGATTTTTTTTCCTGCTCATTTCACAGTGCCTTGCCATTACTGCCTCCCTTGCTCTTTGCCTTAATGTCTCCTATGGGTGTTCTTGTCCAACAGAAATCTAGAAATTCAGGAAGCAAAGTGGACACTTGGGCATTAAATGGCCAAACAGAGTTAGTGAAATACAAGATTTCTGGTCCAGCTGCAGTCTCTGAAGACATGGAATATCTCATCTTTCAACCAAAGGTTTGTTTTTCTGTCTGGTTATAGGCCCTTTCATCAGAATACAGAAGTTGCATTTCTCCTGTGTGGCACTCAGAAGTCATAGCTATATATATCCACGACAGGCAAAAACCCCAGTGAGGATATGTTCTTCCAAACTACCTGAAACCACTTTTGACATAGAAACCAAACTTCAAGGAAGGAGAATCTACCAGACAACATTTCTATTTAGGACAGAATTTCAGGCTCAGATTCATTTATTTAGTCACTTTATAATATTGTTTCCATCAGATTAAAAATTCAGATGCACAGATTCTAAAGACATTCTTTCTGCATTATGTCATCGACCTAAAGGACATTTTGAGGAGTCCCTTGGCCTATTCCCACCCCTTTGTTAGATTCCATAAATATTCTCACAAACAGTTAACTATCACATTTAAAGAACAACTATAATATTTCACGTAAAACCTCATAGGTCTTGAAGTAGGCTGTCATCCTGTTGGTAACCATCCCCCCACTCTTGGCCTTTCCAAACTGAAATTATAATTCTATAGTTTCTACAGAAATATATTCTTTTCTTTTTAGATATTGATAAGGCTGGAGAACAATTGCCAGTCTTACCTTGGAAAACAGTTCTTTCTGTTTCCACAAATTCCTGTAACCTGTCTTCATGTATTCTTAATTTCCAGATTTTTTAGATGAGCTTATAGTGTTCACGACCAACAGCAGATGCCTGCTATAGGTTAATTTGGCTGATGCGGAGTGAATTTTAGATTCTTATTTAGACTGCCCATACCTCTGTCTGTTACTTAACAATGCAAGAAACGATTTAGTAAAGTTAATGACCCATTGGGAAGGCAAAAGTAAATTCATATAATGAAGCATCTAGGACTCTTCTCTGTGCATGTAAAACAGCATTTTAATGAGCTAAACGAGTTTGAATATTTAAACCCTGAATAATGCTTACCATTTGTTATCCAAATTTAAAGCAATGTTCCATATATAATCCATAATCTGAGAGGCTTTTCAGTGGCTGCTTCCTACCCACAAAGTATAAAAAATGTTCTTCAAATGCACACATGATAGAAGAGGGTACATTATAAATATCAGAAGAAACATAAAAGGAATATAGGAAAGAATGACTTTGTGAGAATAAGAAATAGTTGCAAGACTTTTTGGAGTAGATTATGACAGAACTGAAAGAGCTTCTGTTTAAGTTCTATAAACAATGTACTAAGCAGATTCCTGCCTTCACGGTGAAAAATAATTGCTGAAAATAAGTAGGTCAGTAGGTCTAAATACAGGCAAATTATAGCATCCTTTGACATTTTAAAGTGATTTCAGAGAAAATATAATGCTTTATCACATTAGAATTAAAGGAACTATTCATAAACAAAGAATTGTAAACTCTTCTCAACTGTCTGATAAATTCTCAACCAAAGCAGAGATTCCCTGACAGAATCACTGACATAATTTCCTATCTTCTGCTAAAAACATTTCAGTGACAAGAAACCTGTTCCACATATTACACCAAATTTGTCCTCCCTTTAACTTTCACCCAGTGTCGAAGATGTTATAATGGAATATAAGTCTATACTCTATCACAAAGCAACTATTTGTATGTATAAAATAATTAATATCATCTAGTATCAAGTCATCCAATTTCAGAGTATCACTCAATGTCTTAAACAATTTTTAAAATAAAAATGGCACCGGAACCTCTTAACATCTTTAATAGCTCTTTACAAACTCCAGTTAATAGTCACTAGAGTGGACTCAGAATTGAACACTAAGAATCCATGTGTGATCTGACCAGTTAAAAAAAAAACCAGGAATTATTAAGTATCTGGAATCCTACTGGAATTCCAGTAGAGTGAATTTCTCTCCTAATAAAACACTTAAACCATTTTTATCTGATGGTCTGGCAAAGAGCAATTTTTAAATTTTTAACCTTTTCTTCCTATGAGTGCTTTCTGTGTGGTCTAGTATTTTTTCTTTTTCCGTTCTTCCTGATGGTAGTGGACATGTATTATTTGTATCTCAATATCTTCACATCCTGCAATTCTATATCTCTAGATAACTAGAGGCAAACATCCTCATTCTCCCCCCAACTGCTGTGGTTTAAATGTTTTATTCCCTCCAAAATCCATAAGCTGGGAACTTAACACCGTTGGAAGGGGGGGTTCTAATGAGATGTGCTTATGTTATGTGGGCAGAGCCCTCATTAATGGATTAATGCTACTAAGAAAAGGGCTTATGAAAAGGTTTCCCCCACTTCTGCTGTGTGACAACACAGCATTCCTTCTCTCCAGTGAATGGAACAATAAAAGGCCATCTTGGAATCAAAGACAGAGCCTGCTGGCATTTTGATCTTGGACTTTCCAGCCCCCGGAACCTTAAAATAATACATTTCTGTTCTTTATGAATTACTCAGTCTGTGGTATTATGTTATAATAGCACAAACAGATACCCTACAATCATGCCTCTAGTTGGAGTAAGCAATAAATTGGTCGAGTCAGGAGATGAGCATTAATCCAGTCAAGGTCCTTTCCTTTTTAAATTTTGAGCCAAAGAGATTATCTTCTTCTGTAGGTTTGAAACTATGAGAAGTGAAATGCAGGAACTCCTAGAAGGCCTGGGGAAAAAAACCTAAGAAAGTTAGCCTGGGAAAAGAAAGCCAATATGGAGTTCTGGTTCCAATTATTCCTGAAGCTTAGCTGTAGCCTTAGGTTCTCCATGGGTGCATAAGCTAATAAATTCATTTAAAGCAAAAAAAAAAAAAAAAAAAAAACTTTTCCAGCAAAACTAGTAGTGACTTGCATATAGATTTTGCTATCTACGGTTTTTACTTATTCCTCTTTCTCAATTTGATGTTTTATATTAGCTTTCTATCATTACTGTAATAAATTATTAACAACTTAGTGGCTTAAATAATACAACTTTATTATTTTTCAGTCCTCTAGGTTAGTAGCTGGCATGTGTCCCACTAGCTAAAACCAAAGTGCTAAACTCCTTTCTGGAGACTCTGGGAAAGAATATGATTCCTCATCTTAAAGAGGCTTCTAGATGTGTTCCTTAGTTCAGGAATCCCTTCCTCCAGATTTAAATGCATCAGTGTTGGATCTCTGACCATTCTTATGTAGTTACATGCCCCTCTAACCCTGATCTTATCTGAAAAGATTTTTGTAAGGACTCATTAAAGTGGACCTACCTGGATAATCTAAAATAATCTCCTCATCTTGATGTCCTTAATTTTAAGCACATGTGCAAAGTCTCCTTTGCCATGCAATGTAACATATTCATAGGTTCTGCGAATTTAGGCATATACATATTTGATGAGGGTGGAATCATTCTGTCTACCACTAAAAAACAAGAAAGGCACTTCATTTCTCATTATTCAGTTCAGTAATAAAAATATGTTAAACAGGAGAAGTCAAAGATACCCTTCACAATGACAGCAACATGTTAATCAGCACTATTTGGAAACCATTGTATTATATCAAATAACTCTTTCAAAACTGTTTTTCTAGGGAGAAAATTTCTGCTGGTTTTATCTTTTCATGAAGATGCTTTTGGAGATCCTTACTGGATTTCCCCAGCTACAATCAGAATGCAATCTCTGAGATGTAGAGATAAAAGTATTTCCATATCCATATAGTTGAAGCCTAAGGCTGCTTTATTCCTGAGCATAGAGAGTAAACACAGCATCTCTTTGTTTTACTAATTGCTTTGTTTCTCTAAGCTGCAAGTACAACATCTGCCAGACCAGAATGCATTCCTTCCACACACCACAGAACCACGGCTGGATAAACGACCTACACATCATGGTGTAAGGGCAAACACTTTGCAGGCAACCAGAAGGCAGTTTTCAAGAGGCAAAGACCACAAATGGAAATGAAGCTGAATCACCCTCCAAAATCTTTAGAGTGGTTATGGAGTTGTTGATTCTGTAATGATTTCATACTGTCTGCAGTTTTATTGATTTTGTTTTTCAATAGAACTGTTAAAGATTACAATTCTAAGATAAGCAGAATGTGGGCAGATGCTCACATTCTCACACACAGTTCTGCCAAGATATTTTTACATCTTTCTGCACATAAAACAAAATGAAGACATGTGCTATAGATGCATGCTACCAGTAACTCCCCCACCCCCACCATCACCATCCCCAGAAGAAGGGAGTTTACTGTATGGTAATTTCCTGGATGAGATATTAAATTTTACTTAGAAAAAAAATTAACAGCACTTCTAAAAAAAAAGACATTTGCTTCTAAGGCACTTTATAAAATATTCTTAATTACCAAAAACCATTGAAAAGGCAATTTTAGTCATCATATCCAAATGTCATCTCTGCTATTTCTAATTCAATATTAAACTTCATGCCACATCAAAATATAAAATGCTGCAACAGCTTACATACGGTTGATGTTAATTCATCTACTGCATATCAGAATAGCTCATTGCAAATATGGCATGAAAGAAAGAAAAGTAAGCAAAACACACTCAGAAAAGACTTGAAACACATTGCCTCAAGGAAAACACTCCAGAGGAAAGATTGCAAAACCATAGCCTTACCTTGGGAGACTTGGGCAGGTCCGCAGTCCTTCCTTCTGCTAAGGTTAGCAGGGTTAACTTTGTTTCTTCTACTGAGGGGTGTTTGGGAGGGCGAGGTGGAGGGTGTGAGGCTGAGCTTTCATATCTCCGCATCATGTAATATTGCTCTTCAGTGATCTCTTCTACCAGAGTCCGGACTAGAAATGGTTCTGCATCCCTAGAGAAATTACTAACTAACTGAACAGTCATATTCAAGCGGCCCACAGGAATTTCCCAGCACTCCGCAGGGTTGGCAAAGTCACTTATGAGTAGGTAAGAGTCTGTGATGTTCTCCTCCAACTGCAGTCCTGGTGTAGCAGCCAGCACGTCCTCTTCAATGGAAAGATCCCTGACAGACACCTTCACATTGAAGGGCAAGCGGAACTGCTTACAGAGCTCAGAAATTGGGTACTGCTTCTTATCATGAATCACCTCTACAAAACCTCCTTCCATGTACAAAGGGAGCAGCACTGCCTCATAGGATTTTTTGAGAATTTTTTCACAGGCCAGAACATTCACCACTTTTTTTATTCCCTCACACAGGACTTCAGCCATCTCTGAGTGATGCACCAGAAACTGGTCCCCAACTGATACAGATGACAGCTTGTCATGAGGGGAATGAAAGGCTTTGGTGGCCACCACATGAAGAGGCTCCTTTTCACTCTTAGCGATCTCTAGGTCATAGGCCGTTGGGAACTCCCTCGGTCGCCGCTTGAACTTGCCTTTATAGCTTGTGGGGATCAAGAAGTGTCTTTTAGGAAAATTGCTTCTAATTTCTGAAGCTAAGATTCTTGAGGCCTGGTACTTTTTGTGAATCACAATGGTTTTTCCAGGCTGTAAAATGCTTTGGGGCAGGTGGTTTCCTTGAGGTGCTTCTATGACTTCAGTCACTATGGGGAACTCTTTACTGGTCATTTCAAAAAGGTCTTGTGTTGATAACAGCTGAAGAAACCAGTTAGCATCAGAAGAATCAGTGATGTCTTTGACTTCGACATCTAGACTGGGGAGGATGCGGACTACATCCTTTCGAACTGAAAAGAAAAAAAAATCACTATGATATTTTGTACTTCAAACTGTTTGCTTCAAGATACTCTCCTGGTGCCATAAATTTCTTTGTCAATATAAAGAACTCAGATGACCATAATATATCATTTCTTATGTGTGATTTTCATTTTTTTTTCAAATTTTAAGATGAAAGAGATTGAATAGAAAACCAATACCCATAAGTCCATACTCAGTTTAAGAAATGGCAGTAGCCAATACCTTGGAGCTCTAGGAAACCTCCTCAAAATCACATCCTCACTTCTACTGACACACAATCACTCTCTTGATTCTAGTGTAAAATATTCCTGTGTTTATATGTGTACTTTTATCATTTGTGACATACATACGTGTGTGAATATGTATGTAAATATGTTCATAAATTTTATATGAAGGTTTATAAATTATTAGGTCATTTTAAGTCAGGCTCTTGAGGTCTAGACTTTATTTATCAAATTATCATAGAAGAAAGTTTTGACCAAAAACATATATATATTCTTTATACCAAATCATATCCTGTGAGATGAAACAATACCGCAAAATCATGATACAAGCTAGTTGAGATTAATATATGAAAATAAATACGAAGATGCAATATTTTTCCAATGTCAAAGTTATTTCTTCCTCCACTGGTGTTATATTATACCTGCCTACAAAAGGAATGGTGTAGAATACAGAGGAGCCATTCAGAAGCCCTAGGTATGCTGGAGGGTACTCACCAATGTATTCATTGCCTTATGCATCACTGGGGTTAATGGACATCTGTATTTTTTCCAAGCACCCACTGTTTCATGAGTCTTTCTTTGAGACTACAGAGACACTTAAAATATTATCCTGCATTTACTTATCTGTTCCTCATATACTACCTAACATAGTATCATTATAAATGGTCCCGAATTAATAAACTTATGTATTAGCCAGGCACTGTGTCTCATGCTTATAATCCCAGCATTTTGGCAGGCTGAGGTGGGAGAATTCCTTGAGCCCACGAGTTCGAGTCTAGCCTGGGCAATATAGTGAAACTCTTGTCTTTGTACAAAAAATAGAAAAAAATTAGCTGAGCCTGGTGGTATGTTCCAGCTACTCAAGAGACTGAGGTGGGAGGATCGCTTGAGCTGAGAAGAAAAGGCTGCAGTGAGACATGATCACACCCGCTGCATTTCAGCCTAGGTGACAGACTGAGACCCTGTCTCAGAAAATAAAAATAATAAATAAATAATAAAATTATGTGTTAATATTGACAAGGTATTATAATAGTCTATATTTTCTTGATAATTTGCTGACATAAGTTTTATAGTATTTTCATGACCTGGCATTGATTTGCAATATCTCTAGCCACCCTTCTGTCATTTTTTCTTCTCTCCATGCTTTTAAAAATGAACAATATGGAAGACTTACAAGATAGAATATCTTCTTATAAAATGTTACATATATTACTTTTAATATTATTAACCATTTATGCAGCATCAAAAACCCTATGATTGACATAATATTACTTATATATCCAGTGTAATTATAGATTTTCTGAAGATGCAGCATGAAAAAACGTATTATTTTCTTGTAAAAAAAATAAAAAATCAGTGGTTGCCTATAAGCTGAGGGTCTGTAAAATCATAAAGAATTTTTTAATTTTTAGGAAAAAGAGAAATGGCTGAAAGAACACGTCTTACATTAATAAGTTATTTTATAAAGTTTAGCATATACTAACTTTTGACATTGTTCCTACTGGCTTCCCTGAACCTCAAGATAAGTTTAGAAATTAAAATCCTCATTGTTTGAATCAAAATGAACTAGGTTTAAGAATTCTAGAGCTAGCTCTAGGTAGGTTCATTCCTCAGGTCTAGGGAACAGCTAGAGATTGTTAGAATAGATCCCATCAAGAACTTCCTGAGAACTCTGAATTGATACACCAGAATATTAGAGTTTCAACACAAGCCAGTTCCCAATCTTTCTTTGTACACAGTGAGTGCTGTGGGCTAGGAATAGCTTTAACGCATTGGAGGACTTTGCTGCTGCTGGAGGAATCATACAGGCTATGCTCTCTAAACTCTTGAAGTTTTGTATTCAATTACTGACCTATCTTCAATACTTCTGTGCCTAAATCTACTGAAGTAATGCTAGCCTATCTTATTTTACTTAAGATACCAGTAGCATTTGACAAAGTAGATTAGACTCCCTCTTCTCTGATACACTTTTCTCACTTATTTTCCTCTTATCTCACTTGTGATTCTTCTCGGTTTTGCTGGATTCTTCTCCCTATCTCCACCCACCCTTCGCACACACCTTTAGGGTGTCTTGGTTCTCTTTTTCCCTCTCTACACTCACGCCTACACTGATCTTAAGTGGTCTTATGTCTTTAAATATCATCTCTATGCTGATGACTGCCCAAAGTATAGCTCCAGTCAAATCATTTTCCTGAATGCGGTATGTCTACTTCAGATCTCCTCTTGGACATCTAATAGATGTCTCAAAATTAACATGCCTAAACTGAAATCTAATATTCCCCCAAAATCTAAGCTATGCTGTCTTCCCAGTCTCAGCTTTTGGAAACTCTTTTCTTTTTTTTTTGGTCTATAAATCTCAGAGATAGCCTTAGCGTTTCTCTTTTTTAACACCTGAAATCTCTTACATCAGGACTATCCTGGTCTAAGCCACGTTATCACTTGCATGGCCTGTTGCAGTGGCTTTCTAAACAGTATTATTGCAGTCACATCTGAAAAGGGAAGGCAAATATTATTTTTAGATGCTAAATAAATTATGTCTGTCTTCTGTTTATAAGCCTACAGTGTCAGTCCTTTCACTTAGTGTAAAAGCCAAAGTCCTTATCTGGCCCCTGGCACCAGCTGGACCCCATCTGCCACTCCTGTCTCACTCTGACTCTCCACTGTCTCCCAGACCTCCTCACTGTCAGTCAGATCTTTGCATAGCCTATTTCCTCTGGCTGTTACATTCTCCACCCAGACATGTTCACAGCCAACTCCTCTTCTTCAAGTTTGCTTAAATATCATCTTGGCAATGAGACCTACTCTAGATGCTCTATTTAAAATTGCAAGCTTCTCTTCTATTTGCCCTTTTCTGTTTCTCTGTGTCATGTCACCCTCACCTTCTGTCATTCCATATAACTTGCTTTTTTATATTATGATCATTGCCTATTGTTTGTTTCCATAAACTCAAACATATGCCTTCCCAGAGGCAGAAGTCTCATTATTTTCTTCATCAATACATCCCAATGTCTAGAGTAGTGCCTGGCACATATTGGATACTCAATAAACGAATTAGTGAATAAAAAGTAATTGCCAGAGCAAAGTCCATGAGTGAGTATTAAAGGAAGCAATTCAGTAAACAAATTCTACATAAAATTTCATTGGAGAAAAAAATGTTTTCAATGTTAAAATTTCTGCTACTATTCACAGCAAGTATTGCATATTTAAGACATGTCTCTTAAGGTTGCAATTTAACTTAATCAGTGGCTGTTCGATGCAATAAATACTTGTGTTGTTTAATTTTCACAACATAATAGAGATACTGAGGTATAAATATATGAACTAAGTAAGATATATTTCATCTAAATTTTTTTTAGTAAAAAAAATTAGGCAAAATCGTGACATTTATGCCTAAAGAGAAGATTCAATACAGGGAAATAGCATGTGTGGTGAAAATCAACAACTCTTCTTAGATTAACCAGAGAATTGAGAGAATTGAGGTCACAGGGCAAACCACCACTCCAGAAACTAGACAGGTAGGTGAATACAAACAGTCATAGCTCACTGGAAGCAAAAATCACTGCTGGAGGCAGCACCTGGAAGAACACAAGGGTACCTGGCGACTAATAGTGGAATCATTTAAGAGATAAAACTCCCAGGGTGGCAGGAGCATGTTCAGGAGGACCTCCCCTACTTTTCTGAGTCTTACTTTCAGCGGCCCATCCAGGTTCTCAGGGTGAAAACTTGTGCTTCTGGCAGAGTGAGAGAAAAAGCAACCATTCTGAAATATTCACAGAACATTCTGTTCTCCTTAAAAAATGCCTGTCCTCCAGACCCCAGGTCCTGGCGGCCCCCAGCCACTGCCCACACAGCAGGGACAGCAGCAGGCTCATTGAATCGAATGAATGTAAACTTCGTCATCTGTGAAAAATCTTTATCTTTTTCTTCCATTTTGTTCTGTTTGAGGGCTCCTGTTTTGTTTGGCGAAAGAGCGATGGCTGCCAGGGGGAGTATCGGGGAGCCCTCGCTGCAGGCGGGGTGGGGGGCTTGGGGGCGTGCCGGTCCCTCGCTCTCTCGCCCATTCTGTGTCTCACATGCCTTTTCTTTCAAAATTGGGATCCTTTATGTTGAGCCAGCCAGAGAAGATAGCGAGATCTAAATCTCTGCCAAAAAAACCTTTAAAATTATAAAACACAAAGAACTAAGCAGAACTTATAAAATTATATATTTATGTCTCTATTCTTCACCCGCACGCCTTCCTGAACCTGCCTATCTGAGGATAAAGCAATTCATTTTCTCCCACCCTCGGCCCTCTTCTTGTTTTTAAAATAAACTTTTAAAAAGGAAAACAAAAAGCCTGTCCTCAAGGAAAACTATTTTAGCACAGCCTAACCAACTTGTGTTTTCCCAGAGCCTAACTGTGATGAGGAAAGAGAATTAATTACCCAACCAAGTCACTTCTAATATTCTATGTGGGGAAAAGGCAATACCCAACTCCAACCTCCTCTGTACTTCCACATAAAGGAAGGGGAATACCCACTCAAGCCTCCACCAGGCATTCTGTTTCTTCCAAAGGGGACAAAAATGCTGGGAAACTTCTGAAGGTCACAGCCTAGAGACACAGGCTCATTAAAAAACTGAAACCTAATAATACCATTATAGAAATCCCCCCTCAATACCATAGGACCATGTCAACAGTGCTCCTGTATAAAAACAGGAAATTACAACTCAAAGAATGGCATTTAATACAGTACCTAAGGAGTCTCTGGAGACTAAAGTCAACAGGG